TAATTTTAGGTTTATTTGGTAATTTTAAATATTCCCTTTTTTTAATTAGGTTTAAGTTAGTAATTTTTAGGTATTCATTTAGTTTGATTATTTAATAACTCTTTAAAAAATAATGCCTTATATAGAACTCTAAAAAATATATAAAAAATAGAAACTTAAAAATCTTAAAAAACATTTTTTATTTTCCTTAATCAATTCTCATTACTTTTATCCATATTAAAAATGCGTAAAAAATGAAAACTATTAAGACCTTTTCTTTTCATTAATATTAAATAAAAATCATAAAAATGCACGTTCACACACTTAGTCTTTTATTTAAATTGTTGTATATCATTTATTTATCATAATTTTCTGTTTACTTGATTATTCTGTTTACGTTTAAATCCAAGGGAAAAAATGATTAAACTGGTCGACTTCATGTCCTCGAGTCCAATCATGCGAATAGTTTCATTTCAATAAAACTTAAGACAATTTTTCCTCAAATATTCAATCTTTTCAAAACTTATACCTTTTAAGCAAAAAACTTCGACATTAGGTCGTCGTCTCTTCAAAAAACCCGTCTGTACCCCTTTTTCGGCCAAAACGATTCATTTTTCAATCAAACGAACAATTTTAATAAACAGATATTTCAAAAGGTTCCTATAGAGTACTATAGATACACTGGGTGCTAATACCTTCCCATTGTATAACCAACCCCCGAACCATAGATCTCTTTTCAAAAACGCCGTGTATTTTTTTATTACTTTTAAAAGTATTACTTTACATTGCATATTTTGGGTTTTATTTCGCTCTTTTCCCTTTTCCCTTGGAAATAATAAAGCGCGGTGGCGACTCTTGCTTTTGTGAGACGAATTAATCAATAATTCGATCTCCGATTTACCCCGCTACATTTTTTATCGCTACACCTTTCCTTTTGGATAAAAGAAAAGTCTGTGGCGACTCTTGCTAACCGCAACAATTGCGATCAAACACAAATATCCCAAGTCAGTTCTCCCACCGCATTACAGTGAGTATCTAGAAAATAAATACACAAACGAAATTTGGAACACAATGCCTTTATTGAAGGTAACAATTGTCTTTAAAAGAGAACATATTTCAGATATTGAAAGATATTACAACTTTAAAACAATAAACTCGCTAAAAGAAAATAAACAAAGGGAAACAGTCTTCTAAGCGCGCTTGTGGATGTCTGCTCTGAAATGATCAACCATTATTCTGCAAAGTTTTAGGAAGTCATCAATGTCTTTTGGGAGAGGAACCATCACACTTTTTGCGTCTCTCAAACTTCTAGGGATGCCTTCAATGAGATTGTTGGCTAAGAAAGTGAATCTTTCATGTTTGTCCTTGTAGTATCGGTATTCTCGGTAGAGGTTAGGAATTATCTTGTGGTTATCCCTTCCTGCTTGGGCGATCTTCGTATACTACTCTTCTCAATACATATTTTTAGCTCTCATCTCCATATAGAGTCTCCATTGTATCAGGAAATCTTTTTGGAGGCCTTCTAGCTCAAGGTATACTTGCTCGTACTCTTCAGTTTTCTGGGCAAGAAGTCTTTCTGCCCGCATCCTTGTAAGGTGTTCCCTTATCTCTAATTCTTGGCTATCCTGAAGTCTGGTGTTAAGATACTTCACTTGCTCTTCTTGATCTAAAGAGGCTTGTGCCAAACTCTGGATTTTGGCCCTTAGATCTTCTTCCATCACTTTCTTGTCTTGCACGGCCTTTTCATACCATCTGGTTAACCTTATAATTTCACTAGAAGCATCGTCTAACCTCTGTTTGTGGGAATCCAAATTAAAAGTAGCACTTAACAACCCTTCAGTTGAACGTTTCCTTTTTAAACTTTCCTTTTCAAATGCCTCACAGTCTCTTTGAATTTGTTGGTCTTTTGATTCAAGTGTGCGCTACATTTATCTTTTTTCTTTGGTTAAGTTAAGGAGGTTGAGATCTAGTTCTTCTTTTTCCCTCTGAGCTTGTTTCAAGGCTTGCTTCAGATCATCTATTTCTTCCAAGGACATAGGCGGAGCTACTGGGACCTCTGGCTTGTATTCAGGATCTATGTCAAATGGCAACTTAATAATTTGTACCATATACAGAACCCATTGAGTGTATGGTCCTTTTGTCACAACATTCTTTTTTTCCCAACTTTTCTTTTGCTAACCCTGTTCCAGGCCCGAGTAATTTTATTGAGCAACTCTCGGTCATTTTTGCCTATGTCATGAATGATCAATTGTTGGAGTTGTTCGTTTGGAGGTATATCTTCTAAGGGATACTCTAGTTGTCGTAGGGCCAAGGTAGGGTTATAATTAATGCAACCTTTTGATCCGATCAATTAAACATTAGTAAAGTCCCCACAACTATAAAGAATATCACCAATGTCCAGCTTCCTTGCATACCATAATGTAGAATTAGCAATAAGAGACCTTAATTTCTGAGGCCACTTGTACCTTGTCAGATTCAGGATCATGTAATCTTCCTTATAAAGATGAGTCATAAACCAAGAATACAACAGTGGAATACAACAATTTAGAGTACCTCTTATTTTACCATATCGCGTACGAATTGCGTAATAGATGTCAGCAAGCAGAGCGAGAGTTGGATTTGTATTGAAAGTTTTTGTACCCCAAAACACGCTAATAGTTGCAGGGTCAATGTAGTCTACAGTTCATGGAAATAAGATAACACTGAATACAAGCGGTCCTAGACAATCAACATAAGACTCACATTCCTTATTATTAGCCAGATCGAGAGTCTTAGCTTCTAAGTAGCATCTCTTAATCCCTTGTATGTCACCTTCTTTCTTGTAATTAAGAGATAATTTAGGATAAGGGATCCTCGAGCCTTCTGCCAAGATTTTGACGTTGATAGTTTATCTGATACCCACATAAGCCTTCTCTTTAGAAAAGTTCGTAATTCTATCAAATTCTTCTAGAGTTTGTGCTAGCTGGAAGTCTTGAATGATGAAGCATCTCAGCGGAGGGTCGTAAAACTGAATTAGAGCATAAACAACATTCAATTGTACTTCTACTTTGGTCAAGTTAATGATATCCCCACAGTTTATTGGGTTAGCATAAAAACACATCCTCTTAGTTTATAAATGAGGAAAAAGCTTAATGAGTCATCAGACTTTGATGGTCCATTTCGGGGCAACACACCACCCTTTCATGAATTTAAACCCCCCACTAAATAACATTAAAAAATAGACAAAAATTAAATAATATGATCACAAATTAGAACCACAACAATAATATGACTGTTGAATTGATATGGAAAATTTGGGGCATGACAATAGTGAGTAACTATTCAAAGTTATGAATCAGTTTTCAAAGTAATGAACAAGTATCGCAAACATTGAACAAGTGTAAAAAGATTGAAGAACAATTTTCTAACAAGTAATTAACATGTATCAAAAGGAATTGAACAAGTTTCTAAAGGTGTGAACAAGCATCACAAAAAACAAGTATCAATAACTAATGAACATGAATCAAAAGAAGTGAACATGTATCAAAAGAATTGAACAAGCATAAAAAAGAATTGAACGAGCATAAAAAAGAATTGAACAAGTAATCCCATTGAACAAGTATCAAAGGAGAAATGAACAAGTATCCAAATTGTTCTAACAAGTATCAAAAGGGGTCAACAAGCATCACAAAGATATGAACAAGTAATGAACATGAATCAAAAAATGTGAACAAGTATCACAAAACATGTCAAATATTTCAAGGATTGGCTACAAGTAAGCTCATGGCAACAAGTATGTCATCATTTTTCAAGTTAAAGAGAAAATGAAACAAGAGTTGAGTATTAAGGTGAACATCCTGTCATACTTCAAGACATTCAATCCTACAACAACTTCATCAAGTTTCTAATCATAGCATCATGATGTGCGTCTATTCAAGTGTACACACAACCTAAAGTTCAAGTCCTAAAAGGTCATGCAATCAAGGTTATATAACCTACACTAAACAATTTCACAAGCACTTGAAGAAACAACTTTTGAACCTAACAACGTAAAAAAACTTAGCATAAAAGTAAGGCAAAAGCTATTTAAGGTGAGCATATATCCAAGGCAGTAACATACTCATGAGAAACTCAACCAAACATGGCTCAAACATGAGAAGGTTTCACAAGAAGATTGATCATGAACTAGGGCAGCAAGCTAACAAGCAATAAAAAATTTGTATCACCAAGTATCCACTTAGAACATATGCCTTTAAATGATCAAGACATCAACACAATCAAAAATCAAGGCATGACAACTTGACAAAGAAACTCTATCCAACCACATCTCGAAGCAACAAGAAGTTTCAAAGCACGCAAGCTCAAACAATTAGGTCAAAGTTTAAACAAACATGAATCGTCAGTGTCATCAAAACAATTGTATAAGTGCACACACAAAAAAATTGCCTACTTTGAGGTAGGACTTCAGATGCTCAAACATTGCCTACTTCGAGGTAGAACTTTAGAGGCTCAAACATTACCTACTTCAAAATAGGACTTCAGATGCTCAAACATTACCTATTTCGAGGTAGGACTTCAGATATACACAATATGCTCCTAATCACAATAATAGCCTAGAATAATGTGTGAAAGAGAGATAAAATTGAGATTCAAGTGGTACCTAATAGAGAAAGATTTGTTGCCTCTTTAACGCGCACAAAAAAACTTAAGAAAGATGTCAGAAGCTCTACACGATCAATTAAAAATATCAATCACCACAAAAGTAAAATAAAAGATAGCCAAGGGGTGCAATCTACTGACAATGGTGTTGTGTAGCAATGGTTAGGCGCAAAGCCCCACTGAACATAAGTCTAAACATCCCTTTTTATTCAAGCATCAAATTAACAAAAAAATTGTTTGGGCTTGAGGCATTTCGGCCCACCCACACCATTTCGACATCAAAATTCAATTATTATTTAAAATTGAAATATCAAAACAATAATAATAATAATATATGAAAGAAGAAAAGTAAAACGGTGTGTTTTGTTGTGGTTAGGGTTAGAATGCAATGTGACTCTTCATCTTGTACGAGAACTCAGCACTCTTCTCCTCTCTTCTACAGCGGCCACGACGCTCAACTATTCTCTGACTTTCTTTCGACGAAGTGCCACCTTGGACTCGTCTTTCCTTCCGTTCCGCCTCGTGCCAATCTCGTGGCTCACGGTTCGCTTCCTTACCAGCTGCACGCGTCCGCCTCATTTCGTTCACCTTTCAACCTTCGTCATATCTCATCTCCGTTAATCTCCATGTTCAACCACGCCATCGTCATGGCTTCATCCTCAGAAATCCAGAGGTATGTTTCAATTTTTGTGTTTTCCTTTTTTTTGAGTCTGAAACCTCTTATTCTACATCGTCTATCTCGTTCTTTGATTTGTGCATGTCGGTGTTAAGAAGTTGTTGCTTCTGATTCGTAATGTTGCGATAGCGTTTTTGCAGAATTGTTGATGTAGTATTGAAGCGTGGTGCAGTTTGAAGTGTCGAAGCTTGAAGAGATGCTGATATCGGTTTGTTGATGCTGAGATAGAGAATGCAGAAGCGTGGAGTTCAGAGGAATTCAGAGATTTGCAGAGAAAGAGAGATTGAGAAGTTTCTGGATTTTCTGCAGAATAGTGAGGAATGAATCATGTCCTTGGTAGTGATGAAGAGAGAGAGAGGGAGAGTCGAGAAAGATTTTCATGTGAGTATTTTTTGGTATATTCTGTGACTGAAATCGTGTGAGTAATGACTCGTATCCCCCCCTTTTCTTCTGAATGATTTCTGTTATATAGTCTGGAAAGTTTGTTAGATCAGAGTAAATCATGTCCATTGGATCAATAGTTTATTATGAAAATGGAGAGCTGAGATTGATTCAGAGTTGAGCTAGCTAGAGAAGATTTTTCCTTATGCTGAGTTGTTATTTGAATTTCTGAATTTTTTTTATAATTTCCTCTCTATTTTCTTCTTTTTCGATATTTTTGCCCTGCTACTTGTTTTTTGATTATGCTTGGACAGGGCTGCAACATGGTTTAATTGATGTATGAACTAGTTGTGGATGGATTGGATTATTTTCTTGACTGTTTTGGATTAAATGCAAGGCTGGGCTTAGTACAACAGGTTTGCGGTTTTGGCATGGAATTTGGTTATTTGATAAGGTTTTTGCATTGTATTTTTACGCTGGTTTAAAGGTGCAATGGGCTTGAACCTATTAATATAGCATGGGCTGAGTTTTTGTTTATTGATGCAGGTTGGAAATTCAATGTAGTAGGCTACATGAAGGATGGTTCATGTTGAGTTTATGACATAGTTTACTGTAGCAATAATTCATGATTGTTCGGTCTTTATGCAGATTCAATTGGCCTTCAAAATAGCATGGAGTTTGAAGCATTAACAAGGAAGGTAATAGCATGGCTAAGCACTCCTTTGACTCGCTCAAAACTTGAAGGGATGGATTTATGGAAGATAGCAAAAAGTGTGAAACATGAAAGCTTGTCATGAAAGATTTTGAAGCATGAAGAGATATGCTTTTGGATTAGAATATGAAAGATTAGAGTAGATTTCTGAAGTTCCTTTGTATTTTTTCTCAATGATGTAATGGCATTTGAATTTGAATGGACATGTAACCTTGTAAAGTCTTGATTTCAATAACAAGTTCTCAAGTGTTCCATGCATTCTTTCTTTTCTAAGCTTCAAATCCTTTACTTTTTTTTTTTGTTCAAAGCTTCCAAGGATAATTGTGAATGAAATTGTTTTGAGAACTTTGGATGATAATTGAATGAATATGTGCTCTTCTAGGGAACTTGAATGAGTCTTGATGAATGAAGCATGAACATGCCTTGTGGATGAAAATTGACCTAAGATTTTGCAATGTCATAACTTGTTCCTTGAGTTCAAGATAAACCATGAATGAATTACTTGTATCTTAAGAAACCTTGGTTTGCTTGATAAATTTCACCTCAAGATTTCAAAGACAAACCTTGTATCTTGATGAATCCTTAACTTTAATTCTCAAAATTCATGTTAACTTGCAATTGAAGTAACAAGTATTTGATTTGATGAGAACCAAAAATGTATGGATCAAAATAAGTCCATAAGTCAATCTCTTATGCCATTGCCCTTGTACTTCAATCCATTACACATCTTAACTTGAAAACCCATGACCTCGCACAAATCTAATGTCCTCGAGAAACTCCTCGATAATGAATATGGAAATATGGAAGAAGTATCACCAAGATAGTCATTAAACAAAACCTTAATCCATGGGATTCTCAATTGAAATAGTGCCATGCATAGACACAAGGGATCAGAAACCCTAATTGTTTGGCCTTTGATGAATATTAATGAAGAATAACCCTCGTAGCTTGACGAAGAAGGAAATCCTGGTAACCATACCTCACAATCCTAATTCCACACTTCACTGCTTCCAGAAGAATATGAGAAATCAGACTTTATTTGATATGTACACCTCAAAACCAATAGAAACCCTTGCTTGAGATGAGCTTGAGAAGCCTTGGAATGAACGATAAACTTAAGACTCGAGATTATAACCATGATGATGATAGTTCAACCTTGCATTGTCTTTGAGTGCCATATCCTTTTATTTGAATGGGGAAAACCCAAATCACAAGAAACCTTAATCTCATAACCATAGAACCAATGATATGCATGAGAATGAAACATAAGCCAACTAGGGTTAGAAATAGGAGAGTAAATTTTGGGTGCAACACAAGGCACGAAAATGGACATGGTTTTGGACATGGAATCTAACCTCTAAAACAACTCTACCACGACTACTTGGCTCAACCATAACTTCATGCACAAGTAATCAAAATCCTCGCCTTTGGTATCAATAGAAAGATGAGATCATGAACTTCAACTTTGATGTTGAACACTTGCTAAGAAACATCTTGCATCATGGAGAAAATTGACCATGAAAATTGAAAGTTGAAGCGGTTGACACTTAGAAAAATTTCTAAGTGTTAGGCAATTTCTACAACTTTGACATCTCATTTTGGCATGATCCTTGAATCAATTGTGGAACGTTTTTAAACTCAAACTCTTCACCGTGATGTAGTATGAAATATAATCTTAATTTGCAACCATTGTTTGCCCAAAATAAATGCTTGAGGAGAAAGTTACAACCTTTGAAAGTCACTACCATGAACATGGAATTTTGACACTTATAAATTTTTTCAACTCCTTCAAAATGACCAATTTTCAAAGTCTTCTTGATTTTCATGATTTCTTTTAATGAAATCCATCCATCTTCCATATTTCCTTGAAATTTGACTTCGCATGACCATGGTTGACCAAAAAAATCCTAAAGTCAAAGTTTGACTTTTAGGCATTTGTGTTTACTTTTTCAATTGAATCAAGTACCTTAAAAACCAATGAAACCATAGCATTTTGGATCAATGTTGAGTATGTTGAATCATTTTGAGGACCATGGAATGATGATCTTGATGATCCTTAAGAATGACGCACCTTGAAGCCCAATTTAGAAACCCTAAATCCCGATTTTCATCTGATGATGCTAAAACCCTGATCTTCAATGTCTTAAGAAACTTGGACAATGGAGGACTTGAGATGTTTGGAAACCTTATATCCAATCAACAATGACTTGAGATGTTGAATAGGATCAAAATCCTAATTCAACTTAATCTTCTGATGAACCAATGATGAAACCCTAGCACTTGAACCATCTTGAAGAAGATAATGATCTTTGTGCTTTGATGAATAAGATCATGATGATGATGAATCAATCATTGCTAATCTTGAATTACAAGTCTTCCCTTTGAACCAATCATACACAAGAGTGATATGATACCATGCCTTAGAAGGCAAAGTCATGCATGATTGAAAATGACCTAATGGATAGATGCATATGAATGTGAAACAAAAGCTAATTAGGGTTGAAAGTAAGAGGGAAAATTTTGGGGTACAACAATGAGGGAGCAAATAGGAGCCAAATTAGGCATTATGCAAGAATCCCATATGTACCACTATCCAAACAAGAAAATAATCTTGAAAATAAAGATTAAAATAGATGTTACTAGACCTATAAAACCAAGTATGCACATAGGTAATGCCAAGGAAGGGACAAGCTGGATCAAGTTTCGATACGAGAAACTGCCCATGTTTTGCTTCAACTGCGACATTATTGGGCACAACGCATAATTTTGCCCAAAAGAGAGCAAGATGGACCCAAACCAAGAAGTACATAACACTCAAGGATCGTAGCTTTGATCATCATAACTTAGAAGAAAAATCAAGGAAATAGAGGCATAGGGTACCAACAAAAAACCCACTAATTCTCCTAGCAATGAGAACAATAGCCCCATCCCTACATAGCTGCTAAGAAAGATTGGCAGGCTGAACATCAATGAAGACCATATTTATACCACAAAAGATATATCCCCATGGAAATCAGAACAAAATACAAATGGAAGCTTTATAGAGGGATATGAATAACAAGACCTCAAAAGGAAAAGAACAGAAGATAACAAAACAAACCAAACGAAATCACCGTCATCACTCAAATGGCATGCTCTCTGGAAGCTAGCCGAGCATTATGAAAATTCTAAGTTGATCAAGTCAAAGATCTAAAGAAGTTGATCCATTCAAACAAGCATGACATTGTCTTCCTCTCAGAAGCTAAGCTATCTTCTATCTCTTTTTCAAAAATCTTTTATAACTTTGCTTACTACATGACTAGTTTCTTTGTCCATGGTTGTGGCTCTACGGGTGGGGGAAAACGAGGGGTCTTATTCTCATGTGGAATCATATTGTAAAAATGAATATCCTTGATAGCAATAAAAACTATATTGATGCGTATATATCTCCTTTTGATAGCAATGATATAGCATAATTACTTGCATATATGGTTATCATAAGAATCATGATAAGAGTCTCCCTTGTAATCTTATAAGAGACCTTTATACGAATAACACTATTTATGAGTGGTTGTTTTTGGGGACTTTAATTTAGTCCTCAACAATACTGAAAAGCAAGGTGGTAATCCGGTGAATAATAGAGACCTTAACTTTTTTGTGCTACGATTAATAATTGTAATATGTATGGTTTAGGCTTTAAAGGTCATAATCTCACCTGGGCTAATAACCAAATGGACAATGACTTTATTGAAGAAAGGCTGGACCATTTTCTAGCCTCCTCTATATGGAATAAAAATTACCCTTTCTACCAAAACACTCACCTTCTTAGATATTTCTCTGACCATTGTCCAATGGTCCTTGATTATTCGACTAACATTGTTTATAGACACGTGCGTCTTAAAGAAACCATGAACAAATACGAGTAGATTTGGACACTGACACTGAAAGCAACAACATTGTTAAGGATACTTGGAACAACACCAAAGGTAGCCACAATAGAAAACTTCAGGAGACTCTCACAGCTTTATCCAATTGGGGCAAAGTGAAATTTGGTGACATACCAAAAGCTAGTAAAAGGGCCTAAGACAACCTAGATAATATTATA